CTGCTGCCGGGCTTCACCAGGCCCACGTGGCAGGAACTCTGGGACGGGTTTGCGCCGGGCCAGGTGCCGGGGGAGCCCGGGGATTTCCTCCGAGGATGGCAAAGAGAGGCCACCACGCTGACCGACGTGGCGGCGCGCGACACGCTGTTTTCAGACCTTGACCTTGCGTCGCGCGCGCTGCTGTTGTCGCAGGCGGGGCCTCAGGCGGGGAGAGCCCTGCATGTTTTGCCCACGGCCGCAGAGCTCCGGCTGCCTAGCGAGCTGTTCCGCATAATCCTCCTCCGCCGCTTGCGCATGCCCCTTCCCGCATCTGCGCGCGCCTGCCGCTGCGGGCGCCCCGCCGATGCTTTGGGTGACCATGTCGCTGCCTGCCCGACGTCCGGCGTGCTACGGACCAGGGCTGTACCGGTGGAGCGGGCGATCGCGCGTGTCTGCCGTGAGGCGGGGGCGGGTGGCCATGCATGTCCGAGTGGCGGAGATGAACGTGGATGTCCCGGTCTCGGATGCACGGCGCATCGAGATCCTGGCGTCTGCGTTGCCCGTGTGGCATGGCGCTCAGGTTGCCATTGACGCCACGATGGTCAGCCCACTCGGAAGGGATGGCCAGCCCAGAGGCAGCAGTGCCAGACAAGCTGGCATGTGCTTGAGCAAGCGGCGGTGCCGGCTCTCGTCTTCGGCATCGAGGTCGGCGGCCGGTGGAACGGCGAGGCGCGGGATTTGCTCCGCGCCTCGCCCGTGCCAAAGCGAGGGAGCGGCCTCAGTGGCTGCGTGCCTCAGCGTTGCAGGCCTTTCACCAGCGCTGGTCCGGCGTTGTTGCCGTTGCGGCGCAGCGGGCCCTCGCCGCCACCCTCGCTGGCCTGCCTAGCGCGGGCCAGGATGCCTTGGATGGAGCTGCGCCGCCCTTGCCCGAGGTGCTAGCGGCCGCGCGCCATGGCGCGGCCGAGGCGGTTAGCCGGCTGCCGCTGCGGCCCGGCTGAGAAGCCTCGCCGCGGAACGGCCTGGTTCCGAGGGCTGATGGGCTTCTGGGGTTGTAGAGCGCGTTTCACCTAGGCCTAGTCCACGGAGTTTCACATTCGCATGCTGGAAAGAAAAAGGCCCAGTCTGGGAAAACAAAAGCGCTTGGGACGCAGCGTCAAGCTGTGGCAGTAAGGCAGCTTGGAGTTGTTCAGCAATGGCAGTGGCAGCGGGCGCTTGCCAGCCCCGGGCGCTGGGCTCGGGCAGGTGCTCGGACAAGTCCAAAGATGACGGCGGGGCTGGATTGTCAAGCAACTCCTCCCAAGAAGGCGGGCGAAACCCTGCCTTCGTGGTACGTCAGGGACAGACTGCGGAACTACTCAGGTAGGTACGTGGTGGTCATGGTGGATCTTCGGGTGCGATCGGGCCCGTATATCTGACAAGGAGGAAGACTCTTGCCGTTATATGGACGAGATCCAGATGGGTGCGTGGAAGACCGCGTACATGTTCGATGATTACACGATAGTGTATCATCGCGTTTGGGACTACGGTGACTTTACGCCCGATAGGGGGAATCACAAGCGGACGCGTGAGGGTGTCAGGCTGAACAAGACCAGCACCTATCACGCCATCTGGGATGCACTTGTGCCCTGGATGTGCGCTCCGGTCTTCTACCCGAACTTCATTCCCAACGCGGACGAGGAAGACTTCGCGAGGAGCTACATTGTCCCAGAGTGGGTGAGAAGCATGGGACAGTTCAATAGTTCAATCCCAAGAGGATCGCTTCCGATGCGGTCGGGGTCATCAAGAGGAACTTGATTTCTTACTCGATGGGCTCCGACTTGAGATTGATGTGCAGAGCGGCGTCCGGTTGCCACCCTACCTTGGGGAAGACAAGGGCGGCGTCGACGTGGCGTGGGATGAAATGGCGAAGGTGCTCTTTCAGTTCTCCCACGTGTCGGGCATCTCGGCGTCGGACGCCTTCGTGGAGAAGTGGGTGGCGAAGCACCTCATCAAAACCAACCAAATCGATAGATTTGAGTGGGTGACTGAGTACTTCCGAGCGAATCCAGCGCATGCGGCCCAATGGGGAAGACGTATGACGACTTCCGTTAGGAAGTTCGCTCGTCATGACACATATATTTGTCCTTCTACATCGTGATGGCTTATGTGATCGATGCTGCTGCGGGCCATGTGACTCCGATGTATCCAACCCATAGGAAGGACGCAGACATCCTGGCTAGCCATCGGTTGATGGCTGATATCAGGAATTACATGGTCTCGTCGGCGGGGTACGACGAGAAGAACAGGCTGAAGGAGGCGATTGCCAAGGTGCAGAAGGCGATCAGCGAGGGTCGGAGCCTCCTGCCCCTTTCCGTGACCCATTCGTCTACGTTAGTGACGAAAAGGTGAGGACCGTCATTGATGGCAAACAACCTGAGCCGCAAAATGTGAACATCGACGAGCTTCAGTCGGTGCATCATGCTGCACAGGGTCCTGGTCCAAAGCAGGAGCCGGTCACCAAGGGCGGAAAAGGAAAAGGGAAGAAAGGTGAAAAGGGTGGTAAGGGCGATAGTCCTTCCGACCCGCGACCAAAGTCAGGTGAGGTATCAGGAAAGGAATCCGGCAAGGGCGATAGCCCCGCCGTTCCAAAGGCGAAGGCCAAGGCTCATGCTGGGCCGACTCCGATGGAGGTTGATCCACTTGAGGCTCAACCGAAGAAATCTTGGGTCGCGATAGCGGTTGAAGGAGCTCGGCCAAGCGCACATGACGACAATAGGCCACAACTGTTTGCATCAGAAATGCAAGTAGTTCAATTCTTATCAGAAGCCATGAAAAAGGATATCATTCGTCCATTTGTACCCTTGCCTATCGGCAAGAGGTGCACCTGACCATGCGTACTTGAAAAACACAAATTCCGCAAACCTGGGAGTATCCTCCACCGGTTTGCATCCCCCCTCACTCACACTACTTCTTGGTGACCATCACCAGCAGCCGAGCAGCGGTGCAGGAGAGACACGAACAACACGCCTCAGCGGTGCAGGACGAACATGATCATCACCCCGCAGCGTCGACCAACGGAGAGCGGGCGCAAGCCTATCGGCCGCTCCTCTGGTCACGTCCGCCCCGCGCACGGTCCCTGTCACGATCCCTCTCGGATCTCCTGCGATCATCTCTCCTTCGGTCTCGGTCTCGATCGAGCGACTCATCACGACGATGATCCCGACGATCGTCTCTCCTTCGGTCTCGATCTTCGTCTCTTCGCGGTCGATACCTGCGCCTCCTCGACTCTCGAGAATCCCTGGTGTCCTGAGTCCTATAGGGACCTCCGGGAGGGCGTGCGGGAGACATCCGTCCCCCGACGTGCCCGCTCCGCATGGGAGTTCGCCACGATCTGGTTGAGAGCTTCCAGCGCTGAGCCTTCCTCGCCGTTCTTGCTGAAGTCCGTAAGCACCCTGTTGGAGGACATCGCCAGGAACGCATCCACCATCGGGCCCTCCGGCAACGTCCTGAAGTGGCCTTCCACCGGGCTCGCAGCAGCTCGCTCCATGACCTCACTCCCTTCAGGCTTCTTCGCCATTGCCTTGGAGGCTGTCCAAAAGCAAAGACGACTCCGTCCCCGAAGGTCAGTGAGGTCCCGGCCCCAAAAGCGGAACCGAAGGGGAAGGCAACTCCAGTTCCTAAAGCAGGGAACGCTCAGGCTCCGAGGGCTGAGTCCAAGGAGACGAAGCGAGCTGACCCGAAGGTTGAGGTCAAGAAGGAAAAGGGGAGCGGAGACGATGCTCCCGGCGATAGCCGGGGCTCGGCTGAGAAGCAAAAGAGGGAAAGAAAATCTCGTTGGGATCCTGAGGTGCCTGCAAAGGAACCAACGAAGCGGGAGGCATCTAAGAGACCCGATGATGTTGACAGCAGGCCAGGTGCAGCGGCGAGAGAGGCAAGTGGAGATGATCTTCACTCCGCGCTTGGTAGGTCTTTGGCAAAGGACGCGGTAGCGCCCTGGACTCTTCCACAGTGCATGTTGGACAGCGTTACCCCGATTAATTCGGGGTGGTGGCGGGAATTTAATGCCCGGGGTGTCGCGCAACTGCCTTTGTGGGTTTGCTCCACCGCTGATGGCGGTAGTGTCCAGCTGTTTGCGGACGCATGCGAGCAGTTAAATCCTATCAGTAAACGGCACGCTCCACCCGTCATATGACGGGCTCCTCGTGAGGGGGGTTTGATTAGCCATGTGTTTCAGGTGACAACCGGCATGTTGCGATAGCAACTGCCACTTAAGGCTCAAGTTTGCGGGTCCGTCGCGCCTCGGATGAGCGTCGCCGGGTCCCCGCGTCGATCACCCTCGTGTCGGTGGAGAGAGAGACATCGGCCCGGGGCAGATTGGTGGGGTCCGCCCGTGCGGTTCATCGTCGATCAAGGTTGCGGGTACTTGTATTCTTTTTTTGGTATTTCCCTTTTGGTTGTTGTTCTCTGGTGTGTGGGAAACCCTGATCTTTGGGACCGGGGATTGGTTTGCTTTTGGGGAACCTTTCTTTTGTGGCTTGTTTACCCCAACTTACCCATTGCCTGGGCACAGGCTCGTGCCCGAATCACACAATATAAAAGGCTTTGCGTTGCTGCTTCTGGTTGCAGAGTCTTAGCGGGCGCCACACGCTTGCAGTTACCGCGAAGCGTGCGATGCCGCAACGCACCTGAAGGTGTTCCTGAGCCAGAGCAAAGATCAGAACCAGCAGAGGCAGCCTGTGCGTGGCTTCTTGTGTTGCAGCATAGTCGCAGGCTGGTGCAGTGTTGGCAGTAGAATTGGGGCATGCAATTGAATTGGGCAACGCCGAATTCCGAAGGATTTGTCTTATTATAAGCGCGCAGCTTGCGTTTAGCTTTGTTGTGATATGCTGTGATGCTTATCTGCGTTATGTGGCTATGCAGGGCAATGTTACTTCCCCGCATCTTGCGGGCTTTCCAGGCCGCGAAGCAACAACAGCCGGGGCGCATGGTGCAACAAGAGCTTCCCACATGCCTTCGCCGTGGGTGTCAGCAGCCGACATGGAATGGCCAGCCGGGAGAGTACTGAGACTTGTCCAAATTCATGGCCAGCGTATGACGTGTGAGGTTGTATACAAACCCCCTTACCTTCAGTTTAGTATATGGCGGGCCCTGATTTCCCAATCTGCTCCGTTTCCCCACGAAACGATAACGAGTGAGACAAACGATAACGTGCCAAGAACAAGGAACATTGTGGACTTCGAGTTGCGCCTTTTGTGTTGACGTCTCTCAACTGGTTCTAGCTTCGCGGCAGCAGCGATAAAAAGGATCACAAAACGATACCAAAAACGATAATGCTTGGTAGGTTTGCCGCCTTGGCAGCAGCACGCATCCGTCCCTGCTTGCCTGCTGCAAGCACTGCTATTGGGAGTGTTGAACAGCAGCTTTTGAAATCCCACCCGCCCACCCTGCTGGCCCATGTGCCTGGGCTGTAGTTTAACAAACGACAACCCCAAACACGCAATCAAAAAGTAAAGAGGGTTTTTATGCAACCTCATGTGTGCAGTATGAAAGGCTTTGCATTGCTGCTTCTGGTTGCAAAGTCTTAGCAGGTGCCACATGCTTGCAGTTACTGCGATGAGGCAGCGTGCGATGCCGCAACGCACCTGAAGGTGTTCCTGAGCCAGAGCAAAGCTCAGAACCGGCAGAGGCAGCCTGTGCGTGGCTTCTTGTGTTGCAGCATAGTCGCAGGCTGGTGCAGTGTTGGCAGTAGAATTGGGGCATGCAATTGAATTGGGCAACGCCAAATTCCGAAGGATTTGTCTTATTATAAGCGCGCAGCTTGCGTTTAGCTTTGTTGTGATATGCTGTGATGCTTATCTGCGTTATGTGGCTATGCAGGGCAATGTCACTTCCCCGCATCTTGCGGGCTTTCCAGGCTGCGAAGCAACAACAGCCGGGGCGCATGGTGCAACAAGAGCTTCCCACATGCCTTCGCCGTGGGTGTCAGCAGCCGACATGGAATGGCCAGCCGGGAGAGTACTGAGACTTGTCCAAATTCATGGCTGGCGTATGACATGTGTGCATTATGAAAGGCTTTGCATTGCAGTCTTAGCGGGTGCCACATGCTTGGAGTTACTGTGACGAGGCAGCATGCGATGCCGCAACGCACCTGAAGGTGTTCCTGAGCCAGAGCAACGATCAGAACCGGCAGAGGCAGCCTGATTCATGTGTGTGCTTCTTGTGTTGCAGCATAGTCGCAGGCTGGTGCAGTGTTGGCAGTAAAATTTCGGCATGATATTCAGTTGGGCAACGTCAAATCCCGAAGGATTTGTCTTATTATAAGCGCGCAGCTTGCGTTTAGCTTTGTTGTGATATGCTGTGATGCTTATCTGCGTTATGTGGCTATGCAGGGCAATGTCACTTCCCCGCATCTTGCGGGCTTTCCAGGCTGCGAAGCAACAACAGCCGGGGCGCATGGTGCCACAAGAGCTTCCCACATGCCTTCGCCGTGGGTGTCAGCAGCCGACATGGAATGGCCAGCCGGGAGAGTACTGAGACTTGTCCAAATTCATGGCTGGCGTATGACATGTGTGCATTATGAAAGGCTTTGCATTGCGGGTGCCACATGCTTGGAGTTACTGTGACGAGGCAGCGTGCGATGCCGCAACGCACCTGAAGGTGTTCCTGAGCCAGAGCAACGATCAGAACCGGCAGAGGCAGCCTGATTCATGTGTGTGGCTTCTTGTGTTGCGGCATAGTCGCAGGCTGGTGCAGTGTTGGCAGTAAAATTTCGGCATGATATTCAGTTGGGCAACGTCAAATCCCGAAGGATTTGTCTTATTATAAGCGCGCAGCTTGCGTTTAGCTTTGTTGTGATATGCTGTGATGCTTATCTGCGTTATGTGGCTATGCAGGGCAATGTCACTTCCCCCCATGTTGCAGGCTTTCCAGGCTGCGAAGCACCAACAGCCGGGGCGCATGGTGCAACAAGAGCTTCCCACATGCCTTCGCCGTGGGTGTCAGCAGCCGACATGGAATGGCCAGCCGGGAGAGTACTGAGACTTGTCCAAATTCATGGCTGGCGTATGACATGTGTGCATTATGAAAGGCTTTGCATTGCAGTCTTAGCGGGTGCCACATGCTTGCAGTTACTGTGACAAGGCAGCATGCGATGCCGCAACGCACTTGAAGGTGTTCCTGAGCCAGAGCAAAGATCAGAACCGGCAGAGGCAGCCTGATTCATGTGTGTGGCTTCTTGTGTTGCAGCATAGTCGCAGGCTGGTGCAGTGTTGGCAGTAAAATTTCGGCATGATATTCAGTTGGGCAACGTCAAATCCCGAAGGATTTGTCTTATTATAAGCGCGCAGCTTGCGTTTAGCTTTGTTGTGATATGCTGTGATGCTTATCTGCGTTATGTGGCTATGCAGGGCAATGTCACTTCCCCGCATCTTGCAGGCTTTCCAGGCTGCGAAGCACCAACAGCCGGGGCGCAATGTGCAACAAGAGCTTCCCACATGCCTTCGCCGTGGGTGTCAGAAGCCGACATGGAATGGCCAGCCGGGAGAGTACTGAGACTTGTCCAAATTCATGGCTGGCGTATGACATGTGTGCATTATGAAAGGCTTTGCATTGCTGCTTCTGGCATGCTTGCAGTTACTGTGACAAGGCAGCATGCGATGCCGCAACGCACTTGAAGGTGTTCCTGAGCCAGAGCAACGATCAGAACCGGCAGAGGCAGCCTGATTCATGTGTGTGGCTTCTTGTGTTGCAGCATAGTCGCAGGCTGGTGCAGTGTTGGCAGTAAAATTTCGGCATGATATTCAGTTGGGCAACGTCAAATCCCGAAGGATTTGTCTTATTATAAGCACGCAGCTTGCGTTTAGCTTTGTTGTGATATGCTGTGATGCTTATCTGCGTTATGTGGCTATGCAGGGCAATGTCACTTGCCCCCATGTTGCAGGCTTTCCAGGCTGCGAAGCACCAACAGCCGGGGCGCATGGTGCAACAAGAGCTTCCCACATGCCTTCGCCGTGGGTGTCAGCAGCCGACATGGAATGGCCAGCCGGGAGAGTACTGAGACTTGTCCAAATTCATGGCCGGCGTATGACATGTGTGCAATATGAAAAGCTTTGCATTGCTGCTTCTGGCTGCAGAGTCTTAGCGGGTGCTACATGCTTGCAGTTACTGCGATGAGGCAGCGTGCGATGCCGCAACGCACCTGAAGTCGTTCCTGAGCCAGAGCAAGGATCAGCGCCGGCAGAGGCAGGGTGTGTTTGCGTGTCAGTGGTTTGGGATTTGCAAAGACATAGAGTATTATCTTTGGTGATGTAAATGTATGTTAAGCACCTCTCTGATTGCTGTATCGTTGCCTTGTAAACACAAGGGCAACAAGCAACGCAACTGACAAACATGAACGCCTTTGCTCGCCTCAAGGGCGCAGAGCCGACCACAGAAGCACCCTAAGGGCAACCAGCAGAAACCACACCGTGGCTGTGTCAGACGTTTTAGGGCGTGGACCATGAAGATGGCGGCGCAGGCACAGACATCAAGCAGCGTGTGGCTGAGAAGCTCAGCTCTGACTTCGCGCGACATGTATTTCTTGCACTCATGCAGGTCATTTTGTTGGATGCAGGTCATTGGGATGCTGCCAGCTCAACATGTTGGTTGTCCCGTTGTGCTGTTGGAGTTAAGGTTCAGTTTGTTTACTTCAAGCGAGCAGGGCCATTAGCACTGTCACGGCCTGCACACAGCGCAATCTTAGCACAGATCTCACTGCTGGGGTGTGTCAAGTTTGCTCTCCCCCTTGCAGTATGCATCAAGCACCATCCAAAATGCGCTCCCGTGCTTCTGAGTGTTGCTTCCTGACCTACTGACCATGTTTGGCTCCTTAGGAGTGAATCGATCACTGGCAGACGCATGGGACTTTTGCAAGTGGCTAGGCGCGGTCATGAGCGACGAGCCCTGGCTTTGACAGATTTCCGAGCTGTGTAGCTGACATGGGAACATATCAAAACTAGGGACTCTTCCAATTTCAAATGGTTGGTTTCCTTTTGGTTTGTTGAAAAAGGGATCCATAATCTTGACGGCTGACGCATCCCCTCATGTTTCAATTGGCTGACAGTTGTTGATGGTCACTGGCACACATGATGCAGAGTGCTCCACGGCAGGAGGATATTCGCCGCATGCCCGTCCAATTTCCTTTCACGAAGGCTGTGCGCAAAGTGGGCCAGTCGCTGGATGAGGAGTTGACTGAATACTCATGCTAGCCAAACTTGGATGCTTTCAAAACTTGGTTACACCTCGTGACAGGGGGGGGTGTCAACAAATTTATTGTGGAGTACCACAACTTGGCAAGGCCCCATCCCAGATGCCGGCCTGCTCGCATTCTACTACCCGGGCCACAACACCCAAGCAGATGATGCATTTCAGGTGCTTGCGTGCGTGTATTCCATGTGTGGATGTTGAACGGGTTGACACTTCAATCATGCCTTCGATTGAGTTGCCTCTGCCGCTTCAGTTTTGCGGCTTGATAACCGGTTCCGATGAGACGGGTGCCATGTTCAGGTCGGATTTCTCGGCAACTTCTACGACAGGAGTCCCCCACTGTTTGGTGTTGAGCTGTAATTTGTGTCCGCATGCAGCTTGGGCTATGAAATTACAGACAGGGGACCCCTTGGTGGACATCATCAATGCATGGATATTTATGTCCACCAACCATGTTCGAGTGGTTCCCTATTAAAATTCATTCTCCCTACCCGTTTTGCAAAAACAAAAAGCGAAGCGCTGCAAGGAGCTTGCGTGTTCGAAGCGGCCGGACCTCTACGTTCGCTTGCTTCGAGAATGCTGAAGCGGCTTTCCAGTCGTTGAGACTCGGTGATGCTGATCCAGTGTTTTGAGTTTTGAGGCTCTGTCCAAGATTTTCCCAAGAGTTGGCCCCAGTTAGCACCCTTCAAACCATTTCATACCATTTGGCAAGACCATTTGGCCCATTTGGCGCCTTTGGCACCACTTCGCACCATTTGACATTGATTTGGGATGATTTGGCACCATTTGGCAACATCTAGTACCATTTACCATTTGGCATCATTTGGCATCAGTTGGCATTATTTGGCATGTTGGTGTTGACTTTAAGACATCCATTAGCAGGTCTCATCCAATTCCGAGAGGCGCTTCTCTCAGGAAGTACTGGGACCACAAGGAGCTCTTCCAAAAGCTCTCTGGGAATGAGGCCTACCGAGTCTCGAGATCCTTGGGCGCGGCCGATAGCAGCTACAGTGGCCACGGCAGCGGCTTGTCAACGGTCAAGCACCTGGTGTCGGGTTTGAACAAAGGGATTGGCGGTGGACTGCTTGTTTGATGGAAGATGCAGGGAGCAGATTCTTCAGTGCGAGCAACATTCTCAACTTCGAAAATCATTGACATGCCGAGTTACTAGAACCTTCGCAGCTGAAATGAGTTTTGCTCGTATGCATCCCTGTGTGGCATTGGCCCTGAAGAGTTTGGGCCTCTCATAAAAGGCTTTAGGTGGTGCTCCGATTGTGCAAACTTGCGCATCTACAGCCCATGGAGGGAATCTTATATCCTTGGATTGCCCCTGTTAGTTTTAGCTTACGGCGTCAATAGCAACCCCATGGCAAGGTGCTCATTTCCGCTGCAGGGCTCTTGTAGGCCGCGTCACATGTAAGCCCTTGGCCAAAGATAATAACGTGCACGCCCACGGGAAAACCCTTTTGGTTGTAAGCGCATCACATGTAAGCCCTTGGCCAAAGATGATAACGCGCACGCCCACGGGAACAACCGTTTCGGTTGTAACCGCGTCACATGTAAGCCCCTGGCCAAAGATGATAACGTGCACGCCCGCGGGAACACCCTTTTGGTTGTAACCGCGTCACATGTAAGCCCTTGGCCAAAGATGATAACGCGCACGCCCACGGGAACACCCTTTTGGTTTTAACCGCGTCAAGTGCAAGCCCTTGGCTAAAGTTGATAACATGCCTTTTGAGCAGCGCTAAAAACCTTCCTGTTCATGTTAAGTAAAGGCCTTGCAATAACGTCACCCCGCGTAAGCAAAACATGCAGCGGCGTAAGCTCGCGTAAGCATGTTGTTTCCAAATTACTGGCGTAAGCAGCGCGTAAGCGCTACCAGAAACAAGTCAAATTGATGACAACTCCAAGGGCCTGGTTGAACAAAAGGGTGCGCGCGTGTGTGTGTCTCAAAATGGGGAACCCCTTTTGGTGTGGGTTTAAAGGGAGAAATGTAAATGGGTTCCTATTGTAGGAAACACCCATGTGTTGACTGCAGAGCAGTTACATCATAATTTGCTTTATGGCCGACTCCTGTCTTAGGAAGGCATCATGCGCACAGCTTTGGTGCAGCAGTCGGGGCTGTACGTGTGTTGCGTGACAAGTTCGATGCTCACAAGCGGCGGGCGCACAGAAACTACAGGCACTCAGCAAAGCTCGCGTTGGACTGTTTGGAAGGTGCATTGTTGCATGCGAGGAGGTGTGACTTGGCTTGTTTCTGCAAGTATGTGGACGATTTTTGCGTAAGCTCCGCGTAAGCAGCGCGTAAGCTGCGGGACAATTTGTGGAGCCCAGCCAGGCCCATCCGGCCATGGGGCAAAGGCAAAGCCCTGTTCTGAGCTGCAATGGCGGCGTCGGCAGGAGATTGTGTTTTGAGCGGTTTGGCCGCCAAAGAGCCCCTTAGCCCATGGTCGATTACTGAAACCATTGCGGAAGCGGACGAAGCCTGGCGCAGAGGGTACAAGCCCCGCTCGTGGGAAGACATGGGGCCATGCCGGGGCCAAACAGATCCATCGAGGAGACACTTTCCGCCAAAGCACAAGCGCTTAGCAAGCAAGCGTGGAAGCAGCGGCGGCAAGCTGTCGGAATGAAAGCGTCAGCCGCCGACTCTTTCTCTGACTCTGGGTCCTCTTCTTCCTTGTCTTCTCTTAGCTCCTGAGCTAGCAAGACCTGAGAGCTGAAGTACAGTAGGCCGCGCGCAAGCTAGCGCTTTGGCGGCGCGCAAAAAACACAGCGAAACAGTGCACGCGTAAGGTGCGCGTAAGCTTGCCCTTCAAAGTTCTTGCCGCGTAAGCTGTTTGCGTGCGCGCGTAAGGAAAGCGTAAGCGTTGGCGTAAGCAAGTCCTTATCGCATAGGAATCTATCAAGGTTTTCAGCATGGCTCTTTTGGCTGTAAGCGAATCACATGTATGCCCTTGGCCAAAGATGATAACGCGCACGCCCACGGGAACACCCTTTTGGATCAGTTCTGGCGGAGGCTTAAAGCTTACATTCCCAGCATTCTCGGCAATAAGAGACATTGACAGGTCAATGCTGCTTTGTGTGTGCGGTGCCAGGCTTGTGTTTTCCTCAAAAACGCGGGCAAGCACTTGTGGTCCTCTGTTGGAAAACTGGCTCGTGAAGTGAATGTCACGTGAGCTAACACACTCTCTGGGGAAGGGCGTTCTAACTTTTTGTTTTGGCCGGCCTTGAAAATGAGCGTTTCCGCCGCGCAAATCTGGCCTGGAGTAGTGGTAAAAATGGGACGATCGGATACGTGCTTGAAGTTTGCTTTGCATACTTTTGCTGACAGGGCCACTGCATTGTACCTTCGGCATTCGTGCAGTGTGCGCAAATTTCCCCGGGTCACTATCGACGCCGTATCCTAGTTTTACCAGGAGGAAGGTTTAAGGTGGTGACGCTTGTGGCTTACGCAGCGGGCTCTGATGATCGTGCTGACTTTTGCGAATGTGTTTGCCGCTGCTTCTGCTTCTGCGCTGTCGTTTGAGGGTGTTGCAGTCTGACTGTCCCTCGTCATCTAGTTGCGAGTCTTGACATCCATTGCTCCGGAGCACGATACGACACATCGCGATTAATGGGAGAAGTATTTGTCCATGTGGGTTGTAAAACAAAATGATAAATGATAACGCGAATTAGGGAACAGCAAATGGTACAAAATGCGCTTGGCCTAATGAGACGTCGGATCCTGGGATCCCGCACTAAAGGCATGTGTGACTCACATTGCACCGTTTCAGAAAATATAGCTCGGAGAGGGCAGATGAATAGAAGACAGTCCAGGTCCAGTGACTATGACTATGAGTATTCATCATGGCAGGCGGCGCCGCAAGCAAGAGTGACCAGTTTCACTCTTGTCAACACTCTGGCTTGCCAGTTTGTCCATTGCTGGCAGTTTGCCACTCTTGACACCACTGTGAGTGGTGCCGGATTCATCAGACCACACCTCCCGACCCCGTCCGAATCAAGAAGTGACACAACCGACAGGGACAGTGAAAGCAGAGATTGGCTTGAAAAAGATGAAAACGGATACTTAGCAACAACTGAAATTCCCAGAATATGCCAGAATGTTTGTGACGCAGCGACGATCAGGGCAGATACTTGCACTGGCACCTGAAGCACCCAAAACGCAAATGGCATTTTGCGTGCCATGAAAGGACAATAATGAGCGCATTTTGCTTGTACTAGATGCCAGAAAGGCTTGCGCCTCAAGAGAGCGATCCCGGGAGGCTCGATGATATTTTCAGTTAATGAAGCAGCGAGTGGAAATTACGGGTGTTTTTAGGCGGGAAGGAGTCACAGCCCCTTCGTTCCTAGGCATACCTTTGAAGACACTTCTTCCTCAAAAACCATGTGACCAAATCTTGAGCATCGGCTTGATGATCTGGCTGCGCATGGATCATGTTGACAGACAGGTTGGCCAATCACCTCGTTGCTGAACACAGCCCAGGCAATTGGGCAGCGATGCAGCATGTCCTGGACCAGAAATTCCAGGAGACGCAGTGAACACCGAGGGTCCATTGTTGAGGGTGAGATGTTTCGGGGGTCAATGCAGGGCTGCAGGGCTCATCAATCAACTGCGAAGGATAAGGAGCTGCGCAAGAAGCTCACATCCACCAAGAATGCGTTCCTGCTGGAGCACAACCCGGTGCCGGGCCGCCCCGTCCTCAGCATCTTCGGTTTAGCAGTTGCCGTTGGGTCTGTCTCAAAATTGGAGAAGTTCCAAATGGTAGGTTTTTCCTATTGGTCTGCCTCTAAAGCCAACCCCAAACAAGCCCATTTGCTTCTTGGCGTACTGGAGGCGACGCCATTTGGTCTAACAATAGCGACGGCTCGGGGATGAATTGGCTGGGGCTTCAGCTGATGCTCTTGCGAGATCGCCTGAGCGGGCAAGAGCGGTGGACCGCCTGGCTGCAGCAGCTTGGCTTTGAGGTGGATACTCTCCATGAATACATGAACTTAAATTACCAAAACCAGACAGCTTACCAGAACTTTAACTTTGGTTTTTAGTGCTCAGAATTTTCAGACAGGAATTTTCAGATGACATCTTCAAAAACTGATCCCTATTCAAACAGCCATCCACCTATAATATCTATAATGGGGTGCCCAAATGGGTATGATTTTTAAGACAGGGGGCCCGGGACGGTGGACAACATTCACGATTTATGTCCACCAACCTAATTGTTTGAGGAAATTCATACCCAGATGGGGCCATCCCACGCAAGCTGACATGGGTCCCTACGACTCACAAAGAAACAGCCGGTGGGTCCGTAAGACTCACATGGGTCTGTTTGAGGGGTGTCGGTGTCTCAAACGCCTGCACTCCAAGTTGTTTTTGTCGTTTGTTTCGTTCCCTTGGGGGTTCAAAGGTCCCAGAAGAAGAGGCTCTCTCTCTCTCTCTCTCTCTCTCTGTTTGTACGTTTCGGTGGAGGATGGTTTTGGTGGAGGATGTGAGAGCAGCCAATGCGTTGCAGAGCCAGAACCCGCCCTGCAGTGAAGCAGCATATGCTGTTGGTGGTGCAAGTCTTTAAAGGATGTTGAACCGGGGGGTGGTCTTGACACTTCGATTCAACGTCCACGCTAGCAGCGTTTGCTTTCTGTTTGTCAAGCTGTTGCTGTGTAATTACTACCTTATGTGTAACACGGGTTGTAAGTTTGTTACCCTTGTTCCTTTGTTGTACGAACCTTTTGCTTTTGCACGTGTTGTGTCCGTAGCACTGTCCTACCCTCCGCCTTTTACTGTAGCAGGTTTGATTGTTTAGTTTGTTGACTTCCTTTGTCCTTGCCCTTGCATTTACCCTTTTTCTACTCTGTCAGCCTTTTCCAGTGTCCTTTTCCGTAGTTGTAGCAGTAGTTGCAGGTGCCGTAGCCTGTCCCTTTGTTGTGTTTGCTGGTCCTTTAGTGCGCTTGCCTCTTCACCATGTTGCTACAATGTCCACTGGTACTGGCCCTAGGTTGTTTTGGCTCCTTGTGGTTGCGCTGCCTGGAGCCTGCTGTATGATGCTCATTCTGTCCACAACTGCATGCAGCAATTTCACTAGTTCACACCACCGATGTATGCCAGGTAAGTGCAACACGCACGCTTGAAGCCGACACATCACCAGACAGCCCAAAACCATGTTAGACTTGATCCGACTCATTTAATTTCCACGGCTACGCCGAGTGCTCGGCGACCTGAACCGAGAGAACCATCACACAACCATTGACCATGCGCTTTCTGCCTAAGCGAAATTGCTCAAGTCGCGCGCTCAGCTTCTTTTAGGCTGCGTTGCAGCTGACAATGACAGGTCTGGGCAACTGAAAGTTCCGTCGCGGTCCTTGGAGTTGAACCTTTAAGGTTTTGCCTCCAGCACACCTGCCACGTTTGCCGTCCCTTGCAATGACGCCCTGAGTTTCCTGCACCATAGTCCGGACTCGCGAATGGAACACCCTGCCAGTTTCTTAGCCTGAGTAGCATGATCTTGTTCTGAGTGGAAGCGTTGCTTTTGACTTGCGCCATAAGTTGCATTTGTTCTGTTGCTTTGCGCAGCACGCAAGCCCATCTCCAGTTCCTTGCGGGTCTTAGGTGACGGGCCACAACGTCGCAGTGGTTGACAGTTGCCACACTGTTAAGAGCCAGTGTTGGCAACACAATCCTTCTTCACATGAGGCTCGCTAGCTTGACCTGCACTCCTGGTCAGCCAACTGTCTTGGAGCATAGGTTAACCTGGGCCAAGCAGGCGGGAAGCTTTTGAGATTTGTCAAGCTAAGGCAGCACGTGAACCTCTTCACCGGGAAGCCGTTGGATTCAGCCTGGTCAGATTTGGTCAAGCGTGCCACCAAAGTGACCCTGGCTTCCTTTCCCTGAAGCCGAGCGACTTGGTGGCGTCACTGAGGGATAGTGTCTGATTGTTTCTCGTTTAGTTACCTTTCAAGTGCGCAGTCACACATATGTCACACACAAGTCACACATATGTCACACACGTACTTGACATTCTGCCTACATAACGCCGCGACATGCCATGCGCATTGCGTATTTTATGGTTGCCAAGTGTTAGACCTTCACACTTCACCGCCATAGCTTGAGAAGAGAACTGACAGCGTTTGCTATTGTTTGTGTGGGGCTGTCTTGTCGGACTCGACTCGAGAGCCCCAATCCAACGTCAAGCGGGTAGCGAAGTTCGGTTTTGCTCGGAGAGCTTTGCGCAACGGCGGGTGTGTGTGTGTGTGTGTGCGAAGACTATTGAATACTTACACTGGGGGCGATGCGCCCAAGGGTACTGCCCTCAAACGGTATGCGTGCGGTCTGACAAAGAGGAACCCATGAGCGGTCCATCGCGCCGAAACTACCGCCATTTTGTTCTACCTGTTGAGAAGCTATCATGAGTCATGTTGAAGTCTGGATGGCCACCAGCACCTGAACACCGAGGGAGCATAGCTCTTCGTTACAGAACAAGCTCCGCGGGAACGGCGAAAATGGCGCCAATCAATGAAGAGCTTAGGCGTCCTGACAGCAGGTTGATGTACTCGGACACCCTCCGGCGGTGGTTTGTCAAAGGTGCTCAGTGTCCTCGTCATCCTTGCAGCGTGACTTGGGGGAAAACTGCCTGCTCACCCATAGTCGAGACGAGCCCCCGTCATTGCGCTTTTCGATTCTGGGCGCGCCCGTGCCACGGAAACCAGGCTTGCTTTTGACTGCCTCGTCAAGGCACACCAGCAGCAGTCCGGTGGGGCATCCTGACACCCGCAAAATTCGAGCAAAAAGGCCGGCGCCTGAGGTTGGCAGACCGCCTGGGCCTTCGGCCAAAAGCCTTCAGGCTTGCTTCTACGTGGCTTGAAGAGCCCATCAGAAACCGATTGTCATGTGAAGCTTTTCTGCCAGGGAACATCAGCAGCGTTGAATATTCCCGAAGAGATCTACCAGGATAATGAGAAGGTGATGAGGGTGGTCGCGACGCCTTCAAGACGTGAAGCCACAGCCCTCGCAATCGCGAATTTGTAGAATTAGGTGAGCTCACCGCTGTAACTTCCTGGAACCTGTTTGACCACAGTGGCGACCACGTTGCTCAGGCCAACAGCCCTGCCGCCTTACGAACCAAGCTGGCGGCCAGATCGCCTTGGAACCTTCGCCAAGTTAAGAAGCATGTTTCTTTTTCCGAATCCCACCTTGCCAGGTGACAAGTTTAATTACATGCAGGTAGGCACAAGCAGGTTACGTTCCGACGAAAATCAGTCAGCCAAGTGAATAAAAGGAAAGGCGCTTAGTGATGGATCCAGGTGTCAACCTCCCTCAGATCACGCAACCTGCTGTTTGGTGATAGCCGCACTGATCCTGCAAAAAACAAACATAGACAGTCTCTAACACTTCCCGTGAACTTTGCGCTGGGGAACCGTCCCGGAAATGCCCGCCCTTGGACCATCACTGCCAGAGCCAGCAGGGCAATCCGCGCTGCGCTGTGTGACAGGCCTGCGTGGCAAGCGTCTGGACCAGGTGGAATGCCAACATGATCAAAGAAACCCTGTTTGGTTTGGGCACCCCTGCTCCAGGGCTATGTGTCCCCATGCCCATTCACTTGCGGAGAGGGCTTGATTTTGCCTGCAACGCACAACGGGGATGCGCGCATTGAAGACCAATCGCCAGGAGTCATTTGTTTGCACCTGAGGTTGCCACATGGCACGGACTTTGCGATCCTTGTGCTGTCAGCGCAGCAGGCGCAACATGACTCGTGCCTACATGTACAGTAAGCATGACATGTCCTTTCACGTGTTCGCGCCGCCGGTCGAGTCTGCTTGGTATTTCGATGTTCGTATTTGTTGCTCGTGGTGTGTCCTCCTGGCTCCATGCAGTGAGGGGCTGTGACCGTTATTTTTGCCGCCTGCGAGACTAGGCGGTGTCAAACAGGGCAAGACTCTTGGCAGGGCCCTTGATGCCGTCCACGCAAAGAGGAAAAAGAGCGGACAGTTTTGGGCAGAGGGTAGAAGTAGAAGCCTGCTTTTGTTGATGGATCAGCTGAATCATAGCAGCTGCTAGCCTTGATAGGCTCATGGTTCCCCACGCTTTGGCGCCAGCCGGGCAAGACTTGCTGTCCTGCAAGCCCTGCGTCCCAGCCGTGCTTGTTTGGAACATGTCCCATGCCAGAACTTGTCATTATTCAATTCAAAGCATGAGTGCGAGCGCGGCTCTGTTCAAGTTTGTCGGAAGAATGCCCTTGGCCCCCAGAATAAGTTGCGGCAGGGTTTGCTCAGGAACTCGTTTGCTTGCTTGCTGCGTGATGTTGCTGAAGGCCAGGCAGGTGCCCAAGTGCGCTGATGCGACCCCAGTCCCGCAGCATCCCTTAGCATCCCGTAGCTGGATCTCACGTTGCAATGTTCGGTGGACCATTCGCGATGGGCGGCTGCGGCTTCGGTGGCTTGCCCATGTGCATGCCCGTGATCGTGCGCGATTTGCGAGCGGATAGGTCACAGCCGCCCAGGGAGGTGACGGGGAGAGTTGGCGGCATCCCGATCCACGGCCTGGGCATGGGCCCTTTCGGGCCATTTCCGGGTCTTGACGACGGGCTTATCACTCAAGCAAGACAGGGGCGCTGCAGCGGGACTGCTCGCCAGTGGGGAACGCAAACGCCACCATGGAGCTCTACCACGAGACCAGTCCGGACAGAGCCGATGCGATCGTGCAGTCGCAGCGCATGTAACGCGTATCCGACGGCCTGGCTGGTGGAGGCATCTACTTTGCGGAGAGCGAGGCTGAGGCCAGGAGGAAGGCCCACAACCACGGGGCCATGCTGACAGCCACGGCGCGCGCGGGGAAGGCCAAGGTGGTGCACCGCTCCGCGGATGCCAGCTACTCGCAGCTGCGCAGTGAGGGCTACGACTCGGTGAAGATCCTGGGCCGGGACTCCGGCGCCGAGTACGTGGTTTACAACTACGACCAGGTCACTTGAGGCTGGCCACGAAAGCCGCGCTGGGCCTTTCCTGAGTTTAACAGTTTCGCTTTCTGAAATGTCTGAACATTCGGAGCTTTGACGGGTGTGAATAAACCCTGCATGTACAGATGTGAAGCGATCACAAGGCCCTTGAGTCATCCGGTGCGAAAAGATGCGTGAAGCCCGCGTTTGCTGGACCAGATTCAGATTGGTAGCGGAGCGAAGGAACGACTCCGGGCATTTGCAGGGCGAAGGTTGCAGAGGATGAGTGTGGCTGGGTTGAGGTTTTCCCCTGACCACGGAAGAGATAGAGATTCGACCCCTGCCGAAACCCGCTCAGGCTCGTACATCAATGGAGGCAGTCCGCAGGGTTTCCATGATTGGGAATTCAGGACCGCACTCAGAATCCGGATGTATGAAGAGAGCCTGAAAGCAAAAGAGGCTAAGGAGACCTTGAAAGGAAGTGCGAAGAGCCCAGAAGGAGGAACAGAAGGTGCAACAGAGACACCAGCGAAAGAGCCATCATTGAATCATACCGCGACAGGAGCGCGGAAATTGTCCATCGCGTGGTGGAAGGCTTGAGAGGCGACGCGTTCTTGGTCGCAAGAGACCTCGGCTTAGAGGCACTCGCCGAGCCTGATGGACTCAAGACCCTCATCAAGAAGATGAGAGACTTCCTGAAGAGATAGAATGTAGGAATGTTGGGAAGAGAAATAGATGGGTCTCTGAGAGTTAACGGTTGAAGATTAGAAGATTTCATGGGAGACATTGTGTGCTTCAGACGAGATTACATGGGCAAGACCCGCTGGAGTCCGGCAAGTCGAGTGATTGGAAAGGAATCAGACAAGAATGTGTGGGTGCTTTGCAAAAACATTCCTGTTTTGGTGGACGGATCAAACCTACGTCCAGCAAACGATGCAGAAGCACTAGGGAGAATGATCCTGCACGCCATGAGATAGTGCCCTCAGAAGTGATTCAAGAACATGCGCAGCAGGCAATTGAGGATGCAACAGGGGTTGAAGTGCCCGTTCCTGAGGATGAACAAGGTCCAGATGAGGCCGATGAGGATGATAGTCCACCAGCACGACTGGGACTAACGCCTGTGCTAGAGACAGAGGTGCTAGACGTTGGGGAGACGGAACCAAGACAAACAACCACGGAAAGAAACGTGAGACCCCGTCTAGCCAGCACAATTGAACCAGATCCTGAGAGAGGGACAAGTGCAAGTGAACCAAGCTCTAGGCGTGCGAGTCGACAACAGCTCATGGATGATTTACCGGAACCAATTCGAAGAGTTTTCGAGGATGCTCGCATGGAACAATCCGAAGCGAGCGGAAACGTCGCCACAACAAGCAAAGGGAAGACACGAGAGAAGTTTGTGGCATTTATGGCGGCAAGGATGGATGAAGAAGTCCAGGAGAAGCTGCTGATCTATGACGAGGTGGACGCAAGAGTGAAGAAGTGTCTGGATGAGAGCAGACGCATTGAATGGAAGAAATTCCAGGATTTTGGCGCAGCTATCCCAATACAAGGGAAGGAGCTTGAAGATCTCCTGAAGGCAGGACACAAGTCCGTACCTTCCCGCTGGGTAGAAGTCGACAAGAATGAGTATCTGAAAGGCAAGAAGGAGTACGTCCCTAAGTACAAGAGCAGACTCGTGTGTTGCGGCAAGTTTGAGGACCGCGATGGACTGCGAGGAGATGCGCCCACGAGTGACTTGGAGACACATCATGTGGTGGCATCCTGGGCAGCCATTCATGGCGTACCCCTCAAGTCGTGTGACGTAACATCGGCGTACTCTCAGGCGATGTATCTTGGCAGAGTTCTGCTTATGCGTCAGCCGAGAGGAGGACTTCCAGACGTGCCCGAAGGGGCATACCTTCTCGTGAGGAAACCGGTTTGTGGTTTGACGGATAGCGGAAGAGGATTCTGGCTGCAAGTGGATTCGGACGCCAAGGCATGCGGACTGAGTTCAAGCAAGCTGTTCCCCGCTTTCTACTACCACATCGGTGAAGGTGGTTTAGACGCAGTTCTCACAACTCACGTTGATGACTTCCTGCATGCTTTCTTGGAATCAGGACGGAAGCCACGGACTTGCTCAGCAAGTTCGTCATAGGAAGCAGTTAGGAGAAGCAGTTCAGGTACTGCGGAAGGCAGTTTAAGCAAGATGCAGACATGGGAATCAGGATTGAGGTGGATGACAACACCCAGAAGATCCGACCAATAGCCATAGCACAGGGCCGAAAACCACATGAGCCCGTGACTGAGGATGAGCTAAAGAAGCTTCGTTCAGTGGTAGGATCACTTTCATGGATAGCAAGACAAGGACGACCAGACCTACTGTACAGAACGTCGAGGTTGCAGTCCATGACAAAGGACGCTTGCGCAAGATGGCTTAGGCGCATCGATACACTTCAAGCCAGGAAGAATGAAGTGGAGTGACATAGGAGTATTGTCTGTGTCAGATGCGTCATTTGCAAATGAAGAGAATCATCATTCACAAAAGGACGAGTGCATTTTCTGGTGCCCGGAAATCAGGCGAGGAGTCCAAATTGCACTGTGTTTGATGTACTGCCATTGTCATTTTCATCAAGTACCATCAAGAGAGTCTGCAGAGCAACAATGCAAGCAGAGACATACGCGCTTCAAGCAGGGCCGAGCTCTGATATGCGAGACACAAGGAAGGCTGCGTGGACTAAGCGCATGGGAGGAAGACGTCAGACAGAACGTGCCTCACGTGATGCTGTCGGATTGCAGATCCTTGGTAAGCCATTTGAAGGCTGAGGTACCACCGAAGATTGCAGACAAGCGACTCAGCATTGAGATCGCGGCGGCACGGCAGTCACTTTGGACGCCTGAAGGCCGGAAGGCATCAGAGATGTACAAGAAAGGAGGAGACCGAGTGAGGTGGTTTAGTACAGCAACCATGGTAGCTGACAGTCTCACCAAGGCAATGGAAGCTGACCTTTTGCTGAAGGTCATGGACATGGGCGAATACGTGGTCGAGATTGACCCTAATGAGAAATCAGGATGCGAAGCCGGATCGACGCCTGAAGCAGGTTGAGTGTGAATAAACCCTGCATGTACAGATGTGAAGCCAGGATGTCGATCATGGGAGCATGGATTGATGCATGCTCGGGGCCTTTTCGGATCACAGGGCCCTTGAGTCATCCGGTGCGAAAAGATGCGTGAAGCCCGCATTTGCTGAACCAGATTCAGAACGGGCTTCCGGATTTTCAGACCGCTTTTAGCCGTGCGATGCGCAGGTTTACTTCCAGCATCTTCCAGCGACCTGCTAGTGATTGCCAGGGAACCCAAGACAAAACGGCGGCAGTAAGCCACTTAGCGGAGTTTAGCTCCGTGAGTAGTTGCAAATATTTGCAAGCTTGAGCGCGATGCATGATGGAGTGTCAGGGATAATTGACAAGCTGAGATTGCGGAGGAGTACGGCTCACCGTGGCAAGAACGTCCGGCTCAACCGCTGTAGTGAAGTCCCATTAACCAAGGATAATCGAGGCATGGCGCAGATCAGCTGTGTCCGATTGACCGCGGAAGGCAAGGTGGAGCCTGCAGCTTTCGAGTACGAAGGGGACCGCCTCACAGACAGGGACTTTGATGAAGCCCTGCCCGGCACTGAGACTCACTAAGTCGCTAAGCGCAGTGCTGAGAGAAGGTGCTTGAACGATTGCTTGACTGCTCGCGCCTCGCCTCGCGCCGAGGCTCAGCAAGCTGCGGGTGGACTTGTTCTTCTCTGGGACTCGGCCAATGCCTGTCCGGGACCTTGAAGGCTTTCAGAAGGTCTTCGTGCGGCAATCGGATGTGGTCAGCGAGTTCATCATGCTGACCCTGAGTCTGACCGGGGAGGGCCGTGTCCGCATGGGCTTTCAGAAAAATGAAGCGGGCTATGAGCTGGTCTCCCCGCAAGCGCGGCTCAGGATCAAACTGACTTGCCTTCTGGGCCCTGTTGTGATTCTCAAGAACCCAAGGTTCACTGTGCTGAAGACAGGTCGACCCCAGGATCTGAGCGTCGCCCAATTCTGGGCGTGCGCTGGCCGACTGCCGGACTTCCGCAGGCTCTGTGTATGCGAGCGCCCGCGTCTGGAGCAGTTCGTGCCCGCGCCAATCCAGCCAGGCCCAGCCCGGCGCCCCCGCGCGGAAAGCCAGCCCGGCAGGGCGCGGCCGAAGGCGGAAGCCAGGATCGCCAGGACCGCCAGGAAGTGGGAGGGACTGGATGTGGCTGTGCCTGGCACGTTCTGCTCCGGCCCGCCCGGGCTGATCCGGATGGATACCCTTGAGCGGGCCGCTCGGCAGACACCCAAGGCAGGCGAGGCGCCTGACAGCGATTTGCGCTCACCAAGCCCCATCTCGACAGCGGCTTCAAGCGTCGACACTCCACCGCTCGAGTGGACTTGCGACCACGTTGCGGGATGGTTGGACAGCCTGGGTGGGTGCAGCAGGCCGGGTGCAAGGAGAGCAGAGGGCGCCGGGATGCGGACCCCAAGCGTGGCCAGCCACTTCCTGTCACCACACCAAGCACATCAAGTCACCATACCAAGTACATCAAGTACCCATACCAAGTACATCAAGTCACCATGCCAATTACATCAAGTACCCATACCAAGTACATCAAGTACCCAAAGTGTGGGAGGTTGTGGCCTGCAAGTTTCAGCGCTCAGCCGGCGCGTGTGACCGCTGTTGCAACCGGGCCAGGTATATCCGCCAGTTCCAGGAGAATTTGATTGACGGCCGAACTTTGAGCAGCTTGACGCTGGAAGAGCTCAAGGATGACCTGGGGGTGAAGGAGCTCGGCCCACGCAAGGCTCCTGGGCGCAATTCCTTGCGCGCCGGGCATGATGCGTTTGTTTCTCAAACGCAGGGGTGGTGTTCGTTCCACTGCCAGCTGTGTGTCCAACCCCATCCCAAGCGGATCCATGCGGCTGGCCAACGTGTTCCATGTTTGCCGCCTGCGCGCCAAGGTCATCCATCGGGCAATTCAGCAACTGTTCCAGGAGTGAATTAGCGTTTAACATTTCTTCCTTGCTCCATGCGGTGAGGGGCTGTGACAGTTTTGTTTGCCGCTTGCGAGACTAGTAAGTGTCAAACAGGGCGAGACTTTTGGCAGGGCCCATGATGTATTCCACGCAAGCGCAGTGCGGAAAAAGAGCGGTCTTCCTTATGTTTTTTAGCCAGTACTTAGAGCCACAATTTGAGCTATACGCATACTTTACATTGCATTACATGAGGCTCACATGGGAGGATAAGCAACTGCGACACTCGTCCCATGTATACGATTCTTGCATTGAGTTGAATACTACTCGTATGGGTGGATGCCAAAATAATAAATAAACATGTGTTTACCTTTTTTGTTCATGTGTGCTGTTCAACATAGCGCACTCCGTTCGTTTTGGCTCAAGAAAAGGAGCGTGCATGCCGCCGCGCTTGTTTGCCGGTCATATTAGATTTTCATGGTAGCGGAGCTGCTGATTACTTCAGTGGCCTGGGTCATTGGGTTCATCACTGCGCTGGGGTGGCCACTGCTTGTCCTGTTGGCAGTATCGGCTGTTTCGGCCGGTACGGTCATAGGCAGACAGTGGGTCCACCGGGCCACGCGCGAGAGGCGCGTCATCGGGCGCTGGGCCCGCCTGCAGGCGGTACAGCAGAGCCAGGAGCAGAACGCCCTTTTGCAGACCCAGATGAATTTGCTGGCTCAACAACAGCAGCAACAGAGAGCCGTTGGCACCGGCACTCAGCCGAGTGTGACGATGCAGGACCTTGGTCAGATCTTCGCAAGCATCACCCAAAGCCAACGGGATCTTGCTGACGCCATGAGGTCCCAACATGAACGAAAGTTCGCCCTAATCGACACGAAAGGCCTTGCGAAGCCTGACAGATTCAATGGCGCGGAGGAGAACTTCCTATACTGGCGGGTTCGGCTTGAAAGTTTCATTGTGGCCTCCATGCCGGACCTTGAGGAGGTCTTAGAGTGGTCCGAGGAACATGAGGATGACATCACCAGATCAAGGCGGCATGGGGCTCCATGAATCCCACGCACAAGGAGGTGAGGGACATCGAGCAGGTGGACGCACAGCTGTATGCACTGCTGCAGACGCTCTGTGAGCGTGAGGCCTTCGGTGATGCACCTGGACACTTGCCTTGGGACCCGCGTTCAGAACTTCTCGCTATCTGCAGGTGCGGATGATGGTGTGGCTCCCATGGACATCGGCGGCTTCGGCAAGGGCGGAAAAGGTAATGGAAAAGGCCAAGGTGGAAAAGGCGGCGAAGGCAAGAAGGGCAAAGATGGCAAGGGGAAGTCAAATGCGGCGAAGCCCACATGCCACAACTGCGGCAAGCCTGGACACTACGTCAAGGATTGCTGGAGCGGTGGAGGAGGAGCAGCCAACAAGGGTCAGCAACCCAAGAAGCCCTACGGCAAGGACGGCTATGGCAAAGGCGGCAAAGGCAGCAAAGGTAAGACAGGAAAGAAGGGACAAGGCTCCAAGAAAGGTGTCAACAGCTTTGAGGAGGCCGACGACGACGGCTATCACCACGATGGAGGACAAGTAGAGCCTGAAGCTGAGGCGCGTGACACGAGCTACCTGTCCATTGCTGGATTGGACAATGTGAGCCTGTCGGAGGACGAATCGGATGAGGCCGAGAAAGATGAGGAAGGTCCCTGCCTGGACCCATGCGAACAATGCGATGTGAATGGGTGTGCCTCGGCGACGACTAAACCCGATGAAGATCACGAAGGGCCTCAAATGTGTGCTCAGTGTCCTTCAAACAATTTCGGGGAACAGACCCTAGGTGAACAGAGCGTAAGGCCCCCCAGAAAAAAAAACCGACAGAAACCGACAGACACCGACAGAAACCGACAGAATCCGACAGAAACCGACAAAAACCGACAAAATCCGACAAAAGCCGACAAAATCCGACAGAAATTGACAGAAATTGAAAAAACCAAATCAATTTTAACCAGCTACGGCACACAATTATGTGCTACCAGTGATAGCTTTGAAAATGAATCATATAACAGCCAAAAAATAGTAACCAACAAACAACAACAAGCAACAAACTAGCAACAAACAACACAAACACAACACGAGCAACGACGCAACAGCCAACAATACAATAACAATAACAGTAACGGACAACCAAACTTACACACACACAGACAAAATAGACTTTCAACGACATGGAAAAAGCGACCGTTGAGAACCGCGAGGGACAGAGAACTTTAACGAGATAGGCCTAACAACAATTCCTCGAAAGATCTTTGAGTACGCCGCCTTTCTTAGGCATAGGACGGATAGGCCTAACAACAATTCCTCGAAAGATCTTTGGGTGCGCCGCCTTTCTTAGGCATAGGACGGATAGGCCTAACAACAATTCCGCGAAAGATCTTTGAGTACGCCGCCTTTCTTAGGCGTAGGACTTTCTTAGGCATAGGACGGATAGGCCTAACAACAATTCCTCGAAAGATCTTTGAGCACGCCGCCTTTCTTAGGCATAGGACGGATAGGCCCAACAACAATTCCTCGAAAGATCTTTGAGTACGTCGCCTTTCTTAGGCATAGGACGGATAGGCCCAACATCAATTCCTCGAAATATCTTCGAGCACGCCGCCTTTCTTAGGCATAGGATGGGTAGGCCTAACAACACTTCCTCGAAAGATCTTTGAGCACGCCGCTTTTCTTAGGCGTAGGACGGATAGGCCTAACAACAATTCCTCGAAAGATCTTTGAGTACGCCGCCTTTCTTAGGCATAGGACGGATGGGCCTAACGACAATTCCGCGAAAGATCTTTGAGTACGTAGGACAGATAGGCCTAACAACAATTCCTCAAAAGATCTTTGAGTACGCCGCCTAACAACAATTCCTCGAAAGATCTTTGAGCACGCCGCCTTTCTTAGGCGTAGGACGGATAGGCCTAACAACAATTCCTCGAAAGATCTTTGAGTACGCCGCCGGATAGGCCTAACAACAATTCCTCGAAAGATCTTTGAGCACGCCGCCTTTCTTAGGCATAGGACGGATAGGCCCAACAATTCCTCGAAAGATCTTTGAGTACGCCGCCTTTGTTAGGCACAGGACGGATAGGCCTAACAACAATTCCTCGTATATCTTCGAGTACGCCGCCTTTCTTAGGCGTAGGACGGATAGGCCTAACAACAATTCCTCGAAATATCTTCGAGTACGCCGCCTTTTTTAGGCATAGGACGGATAGGCCTAACAACAACTCCTCGAAATATCTTCGAGTACGCCGCCTTTCTTAGGCATAGGACGGATAGGCCTAACAACAACTCCTCGAAAGATCTTCGGGTACGCCGCCTCTCTTTGGCATAGGGACGGATAGGCCTAACAACAATTCCTCGAAAGATCTTTGAGTACGCCGCCTTTCTTAGGCATAGGACGGATGGGCCTAACGACAATTCCGCGAAAGATCTTTGAGCACGCCGCCTTTCTTAGGCATAGGACGGATAGGCCTAACAACAATTCCTTTGAACGCATGTTTGATAGTTGCTTCGCGCTTGCGTCAGATTTTTGGGCAGTACAGGGCACTCTGCCGGACAAACTCCGAGATATTGCCGGTCTAGGATTCACATAACAAAGTGGCACAGACAAGTTTGTTGCGCAAAGAAAACCTCTCGGGTTAGTAGGCAGCTTAGCAGACGCGTTTGCTGGCAGAGAGACATGTAGCATACGCGATTGCTGTCAGAGAGTTGTGTGGCAGACGCGTTTGCTATCAAAGACTTATGTAGCAGACGCGTTGGCTGTCAGCGAGTAATCTAGCAAACGCGATTGCTGCAAAGACTTATGTGGCAGACGCGTTTGCGGTCAGAGAGTTATGTGAATGTGGCAGACGCGCTTGCTGTCAGAGAGTTATGTAGCAGACGCGCTTGCTGTCAGAGAGTTATGTAGCAAACGCTTGCTTTGCTGTCAGAGAGTTACGCAGCAGACGCGTTTGCTGTCAGAGAGTCATGTAGCAGACGTGCTTGCTGTCAGAGAGTCACTTTGTTTTAGCGGAGGATGGGCTTGTATTCCATGTGTGTAGTTCACGCGCTTAATTCCCAGAAATTGTGAGGCTTCTAGGCTACGAGCATTTGTTTATGGTTCCCCCGTATCTGATGTTGTAAAATAGTCGTGCAACAAGACGCGGTCTCGCTTTCACGACTTTCACAGTCGCTTGACTTTCTAGCCAACAAAGGCTTACGCCGCAACCTCGAACTTGCCTTGTTTCCCTACAACGCTGATTGGTGAGGTTGTCAGATATCACGTTCAGAATGTTCAAACAGGAATCATACTATTCGTAATGTGTTTGTTTATAGCTCAGCTTGGACTTTTCACATTTGAACAGCCCGGGTCAACACAGGCAATATATAGGTAGATGCTTAGCTTGTGCGAAATTGGCGGACACTACATGGATGGCTTGACATGCTGGTTAAGTGTCGAAGGCCGAAGGCGTTTAGATTCCAGAAGGTTCGGGAGACTTAGACCAACTATGACCAAATCTTAAAACAATGGCTGTGCAATTTGTAATCGGTTTAAATGGTCAAATTGGGGATCACGCCCAGGTGCGAGCCATAATACGGGTCGTTATCAGACATGTGTTAGTCAGGGTCGCTATCACACTTGCCGCTTTCGGCTCTGCTTTAAAAACACATGCTTCGTCGCGTTAGATAGTTTTTGCTTTGCCAAGACAAACTAAAGCGAAGTAACAAGTAGACTCTTCCCAAGAGCAAGTGTATACTTTCAACCAAGGTGACAGTTTTCCCACCTCGGCCGTAGATGATCGTATCAGATCGATAGGCAATGGAAGCGTGATTCCTCCGTATTCTTACCCATCGAGCGCTTTGAGCATGTTCCGTCCTAGACCTGCACGAGATGCGTGCACATGATTATCATGATTTCACACGCATGGCTTGTGTCTGTATGTATGTATGGAGCGCGAGACAGCGCTACACGGCGAGCGCGCCAAGCTCATCCGAGAAATTTCCCGATGAGCTTGCCACAGAGCACAAAAGTGGAGCGCGAGACAGCGCTATTAGTCCGCGACTTGTCAGGCAACTTCTGCGGTTGACTCTTCAATCACGCTTGCACCTGCAGTTGAGTTCCGGACAACTGATTTGGTTTTTGTGGGCGTCGTGGTATGGTGGGT